ATAAGAATTTTAAGTATTAAAATTAGCATTTCTATTTCTTTTTCACTTAAATTTCAGACCATCTTTTTATCTTAGTATTATTACATACACACAGACACACACACACACACACACACACAATCAAATGTATGGATAGTTAACTATGAGATACACTTGACTACTTGCCATAACATACTTTAATATGAATCTTTATTCCTAATATGAGTGGATCACTTAAAAACATATAAAGCATGAATGAATTTGAAGGAAACAAAAATATCAATGAAAATTTCATAAAATAATTATGAATAATTTAGATTTTTTTTATTTTGGAGTTACAAACACCATTTTTAAAAGACAACATTATTTCACAAAAATTAAAGGAGTTTTATTTCTGAACTTCCCAGTTTTCCTCATTTAGCATCTTTAATCATCTTCAAATGTGAAAGTGACTAATTTGATTATAAATATTCTTAATTTTATTTTTAAGTATGATAAACATGGTTTTCTTTTAGTCTTATTTTTTATATTGAGAAGGATATCCCACATTCTCTTAAATTCTGTAGTTCTACTAGTGCTAAAGCCATATAACTGATGACTTCTTATATGAATGCAGGTAGCATCTCAAGCCTTATGCTGTTGCTATCTGTGTCTGCAATCTCCATCTTCAGCTCTACTGAGGATGCTTGGGACAGTCTTCAGGATTCAATTAGTAGGTGCCACTATATCTAAAGCTAGCGAGGAAGCTCCTCACAAACCTGCTTCAGAGTATGAAAATGAGCTCTATGGTGAGAAAAAGAGATTGACAGTTAACTCAAGTGGGAACAATACTGAACAAGAAAGAAATGTTCACTGGGACAAACTGGGTTAGAAATAAGATAAATGATCTATGTAGACATGGAGAATTCAACCTTGCCTTTATTCCATCTTGGACTTTCAAGAGATTAAATTTATGCTTGAGTTGAAGAAGTGTGTGGAACCTGATCTGGGGAAAGGCCTCAACTAAAACTAAAGGCATAAACTAAAACTCATGTATGTTAGGCCCCCTGTCCTCTTTGGTATAAGTGAGCTGTCAGCGTCTGACTCTTACATGTTCTCTTCCAGGGGACATCAGGCTGAATTCTGGGGAAGAAAGAGAATTGAAGTTTGCTTTGCATGAAAAACCTTTCAATGGGTCTGAAGAGGCATTATAATACCTAACTTAAAGTAATAAGTTTAATGACATTACATGCTTGTGAGAATTCCCACCATGGCCTGGATGATGTTTATACTGATTTTCTTCTCTTATGGTTCAGTTCAGGGGAGGGTAACAGCATCCTTTGAGTCCCTACAAAAAAGCAGTGTCTCATGGGGACCATTTGTTCATAACAATAACTGTCTGTCTTTTTTGCTTTTAGTATTGGATTCTCAGACAATTGTGATCCAGGAACCCTCACTCTCTGTGTCTCCAGGTGGGACAGGACACTCACCCGTGGCCTTAACTCCAAGTCAGTCTCCACAAGTCACTACCCAAGCTGGTACTAGCAGACATCAGGAAATGCTTCCCAATGAATTATCCATAGTACAAACTCCTGTCCTTCTGTGATCCCTGATCTAGTCTCTGGTTCCTTCCTTGGAAACAATGCCATCCTCACCATCACAGTGGCTCAGACTAATGATGAAGCTAATTATTACTGTGCACTCTATATGGGTACTGGTATTCACATAGTGATGTAATCCCATGGAGAAGTACACCAAAAAACCCCTTCACGTCTTCAGATGACTATAATTTACATGATGGAGACATGTTTATAGGTTGAAAATGTTCAACACTTTCAAGTGAAAATGAGGCTGACTACTTCTCCTACCAGTGGTTCAAGCCATGTGTCTCATCCTCTCCCTCCCAGTGTGTGTCCATTTTTCAGTGTTCCTCCTCCTACTCTAGGCTTTCACTTTCCCTTTCAATTTAGATAATGTGCAGAGGAGTTAATCTTCAAATAGGTAACTGTCAGGAAGATTCAGGGTATGCCCCATACTTTTAAGACTCTTCTCATTCAAAATATTAAAAAAATATATAGTTAGTCTATTCTTATACATTGATTTGATTATGGAAATCAAATTAGTACTAATTTACTTTTAAATTTTAAAAGAAAATTGCTTTTATAATATTTTTATGATTATTACATAATATAACTTTGCTTGTATAATTATGTTATGAACTTACTTGTGGGATGTATAATTAATATGCAATCAGAATCATCATCTGTGTCTAAATTATTAGCATATTAGAATATCAAGTAATTGTAAAGAAAAATGATCTAAATTCAAACTACAGCCAAAATATAGTAGGTATTTCTGAAAATCTTCCTTGTAATTATATTGTAACGGGTCTTATGAATACCTAGTATATACATAACTAGAAACTATCATACAAGACTGAGTTCTGTACACTGTCTTATCATCCACTTGGTTGACTTTCCTGTTGAAGAACATAAAGGTGCAGGACTAAAGATACATGTGAACATGAACAGACTCTATTGCACTCAATACTGGATAAGCAGGTGTAAAAGAAATGTGTAAAAATCATTTTGATTTAGTTTTCTGCTTTATCTATAGAAAATAATATTATAAACAGTTATTTGAGGTAATACACAACAAGAGGGAAATAAAACACTATGTAGGCAATGTCTTGATATGTGTTTATACACATATACGTAATATTAAAAGCTATACATAATATTAAAAGCTATGTAATAATAAAAGCTATTGCTCTTATTTTTTTCAACTTTTTTATTAGTTGCTCAAGACAATACAATGATCTTGATATATCATACATTTGATTCAAATGGGGTATAATTTCTCATTTTTCCACCTGTACAGATTTCAGGATCACATTGATTATACAGCCACATATATACATACAGCAACACTAATGTCTGTTGTATTGTGCTGCCCTCCCTACCCCCCTCCCCTCCCCTCCCATCACCTCTCTCTACCCAATCTACTGTGACACATTTCTGTCTCTCTTTTTTTCCCCTTCTCACCATCATATATGTATTTTGTATAACAATGAGGGTCTCCTCCATCTTCTATGCAATTCTCCTTCTCCCTCCTTTTTCCTCCCACCTCTCTTCCCTGTTTAGTGGTAATCTTCTTCTCATGCTCTTCCTCCCTACTGTGTTTTGAGTCACCCACCTTATATCAGAGAAGACATTCAGCATTTGTTTTTTAGGGATTGGCTGACTTCACTTAGCATAATTGGCTCTAATGCCATCCTGCAAATGCTATGTTATATTTTAGTGCTGAATAATATTCCATTGGGTATAAATGCCAAACTTTTTTATCCATTCATCTATTGAAGGGCATCTAGTTTGTTTCCACAGTCTAGCTATTGTGAATTGTGCTGCTATGAACATTGATGTAGCTGTGTCCCTGTAGTATTCTATTTTGGGGTCTTTGGGTATAGTCTGAGAAGGGAAATAGCTTGTTCAAATTGTGCTTCCATTCCCAGCTTTCCATGGAACCTCCATACTGCTTTGCAAATTGGCTGCACCAAGTAAAAGCTATTGCTCTTATTAAGTTTTAAAATCCAGTTATAACTTTTTGTGGTTTACATAAATAGGTACACCTGCTAAAAAGAACTCATGAGAATCAATTGAAATTAACCCCACCATAATTCAAAAGCACAAACCAATTTCTACAATGTATTTGCCAGTTCTGAAAGTGGTACTTTGTTGGAGTCCTCCCTTTGTCTTTCCTGGCAAACTTCCTGGCAAATCTGAAGTGTTTCTCTCATTGTAGAGAATGTGTTGTGTGGAATCCCCATGTCATCCCTATTCTAGCTGGTGTGCATAAGGCATTCTGGGAGAAACAGGTCAGAGGAAAGTATGTGTGCCCAGTGAATGCTGATTCACAGTGAGGACCTGTGGTTTCATAAATGGAACAGCAAGACACATGATTCCTTCAATGCCTTCAGTTGCTGGGTAAACATGAAGTGATAATAGGAAATACTAAAATAATATATTTTATTTTGATGCCTGCTTGAGATGTGATCTATTTGATAATGGTCTTTGGTATATGTTTACCTAATCTAAATTAACTTATACAGAAGGAGGTATCTTTGAAAAAATATAGCAATTTCTTTTATCTGTAAATATATTTTTCTATTATTTTCTTTTTCTCATTCTCTGTGTATGCTCACATATGTATATTTGTATGGCAGATGTGATAAGTAAATATACATACCTACATTTAAATTTACTCATACATAAATGTACATTAAGTTTGGATTATTAATTTTATACAAAATCATACTATGAATTTTTACAATTTATATCAATCAACCAAATAAGAAAAAAGTTTTCCTAATTTTTCCTTTAAACAACTTTTCTCTGTAAACTGGCATATTTTTGGAAAACCAAGAAAAAAAAAAGCAAAAAAAATAATTTGGGGGAGGAAACAAAATGGAAAGAACCTAGTGGAGTACAGGCACCTTCCAACCACAATTCTAACACCTGTGACAGGAGCAAGGAGAGGAATTACTGGGTAGAAAGATTGTCTACCATAGGCAGGCCTGAGAGAGAATCTGCAGGCTGAGTGGCTCCAGGAACCTGGGTTCTTATCAAAGGGACACTAGTTCCCACAGAAGGACCCTGCACTACTTACTGCAGATGTCAGCATTGCCTGGAGCAATCAAAAGGCAGAGGGCTAATATAAACTGTTGTTCCCCTTCAGGGTCTTCTGTAAGAGATGTTACTGGTAATTCCTTGGCTTCTGCAACCAGCTTTAGTAATACATTAACCCTCAGGATGGGTGCTGTGACTATTCCCATCATCCTACTCCTCTATATGGACTCAACAGGAAGTAAAAGCTGAGGTTTTTCAGGGATTGGAGCCTTGCAGACTTCAGGCCCAAAAAATACTGAGATATAACTCTTTTCTAACCTGAATGAGGAGGAAGTCCTCTGGCTTGGAGTATTCTTTGGGACAATGCTGTTGTTCTGGTCACTAATGTGGTCAGCTAGTCACTCGGCTATCTCAGTCGCAGGAGGTAGAGATACCAAGTCAATACACAGACACTGGGAGCTGGTGAGAAAAACTGGCTGGTGGCAACCTAGCTGATGTCCAGTAGCTCAGTTTATTTTTGGAATGCATACAATTGTTATGGGTTCATGTGGGGCACGCCCATCAATCATACAAAAGTAAGATAATATCCATAGCAAATCATCTTATGCCTAATGTAACTGCACTCTGAGGATGCTCTAAATATTACTACCATCAGGAAGGTCTTTGTCCTAGGGGAGGGGACTTTCTAAGTAAGGAGTATCATTCCCTGAAGCTCCTGATTATCCGTTTCCTGGACTGGCATCTTGGCAATGCTAACCACAAGAGCTAAGAATATGGTTTCACTAACAGCTCACTAGAGCACAGCATCCCATCCTGCAGGCGTTCCTATCAGGCCTGAATGAGCATATATTCTTCAAGCACTTCAAGCTGCTCATAGCTGCTAGCTGCAGCTGAAAGGTTTACCAACAGGGCAATACAATACCCTCCTGTTCCTGACTCCTGCTGCTCCCATAACCTGGGACCACTTTTTAAATTCTGTACATATCTCTAGGGTCTGATGCATGTGAAGCATCTTATTCATTCTTGAAGAAAAAAAAATCAATGGAAGAAAAAATTAATAATTTTTCCAATTCCCTTACTAGTGGTTGATTTACTTTTGACATTATTTCTATGGGAGGAGGATGAATCCACTCTGAACAGATTGTCTGTAAAATTCTGGAATGATTTTCACATTTTCATGCCATGTTTACAATATGATAAATGTACAACAAAACCTCCTCTGACCAGCTTTTTAAAATCTGTCCTCACCTTTCTGAATTAGAACACAGGTGTTGCCTTTCCCTCATTTTGTTCTATGAACTACCTGCTCCTCTCACACCAGATGTTCACACCTAAGATGCACTTGATACTTCAGCTATTTCCTATTTTTTTTCTGATCTCCTCCTACACTGCACACCCAAAATTTGTCCTGCCCAATCATATTGTCCCAATTTTGTCTTACAATTTTCCCAGAGAAGATGGTGTAATATGAGATATAATGATGGGCACAGACCTGGTTGAACGTGTTCTGGTTAATGCAGAGGTCACCTATGTAACTTAAAGAGATGTACAGATGTACAGAGTCCCATGCTCATGGTGTGTTCTCTGAAGTTGTTTCCTCCTAAGCCCCAATTATTAACCAAGCTAGTTCATCATGCCACCCTCCCTCAGTCAGGGACGCAAACACCGCAACTACACATGGGTAGAAACAAGGTGTAGAGGCCCATTTGCATGAGCAGCTCCAACCCTGGGAGGATAGTGGAGCTGGAATAAGAGAGGCCTGGTGCAGTGGAGTTATCAGAGTTAGGCCTATCAAAGGGCTGTGTCCACCCTGGCCTACACTCTTTTCCTCCTACTGAGGCTCTCTCAATGCACAGCTAGTTACAGGCCTCAGAGGCCTAGGGCAGGCCTCTAACCTGAGTCATTACCCTATTCCTCAAATTCCAAAGTCACTTCTCCCTACTTCTGCCCTTCACTCTGATGTGTCTGTGCTTTCAGATTT